ACAGAGCCACAGATGAGGTGTGGGCCTGGCTTTGAATTCTGGCTCCAGCACTTAGGGTCTGCGCTGTCCTGGATATGTTAGTGCAGTGGCAATATCACACAGTGATTAAAAATGTGAGCTCTGGGGCAAAACTGTTAGGATCAAATCCTGGCTCTAATACGTAACATGTAATCAGATCGTGGGCAAGTCACTTAGCCAGCTATTTGCTATCATAACCTCTCTGTGTTTCCTTAACAGTAAACTGAGGTTCCGTAACAGTACCTACTTCACAGGTTGTTATCAGGATGAGATGAGAGAACCTAGGGCCTGGCACTTCATAAACCCTCCATAAATCATCATCATCATAAATAGGTTTATAATAATATATCTACGTGTCATTGTACATTATTGTTTGTTATTTTATTGTTTTACCACGTAGCCTCACTGGACAACCTGGGAACAAGCTCCCCGCAGCGTCCAGCTTAGTTCCAGATGGGACAAACAAGGTGGGTGCTGATGCCAGTGCTGGCTGCACATCCCTGAGGCCCCCACGTGGCCAAGAAACAGTGGTGGGGCGAGTGTCACATCCTGTCTTCTTTGGGAAACCTGGCAGAAAAGAAAGGGACGCTCCCTCCTCCTCTCCCGTGTGTCTCTTCCATAGGAAGGATCTTTTCTTTCTCTACTCCTGAAAACTCTGCCCGCTGCTTTCCGACAGAAGTACAGGAAGTCCTGGTGCAAATGACTGGCTGTGCTGAAGGGGTGGGTCACCCTGCCTGGGCGTGCCGCATGTCAACTGGACGCTGTGACCTCACGCCTCTCCTGGGTGGGAATCTCGGGGGTGGACCACAGAACTTCTGCATCCACGGCCCCACCTGCCCTCCGTCCCCAGGGTCCTCTCAGGTGAGAAAAGTTGCTTTCCAGCCAGCAGGACCTGGGGATTATGCTGGACAGCCAGCAAGGCCAGGTGCAGACGCTTCACCCTGGGGTGTGTCTGAGTGTGCGTGTGTCTGGGAGTATGTGAATGTGTATGTGTCTGCGTGTGTGTCTGAGTGTGTAAGTGCGTCTGAGTGGGAGTGTGTGCATCTGAGTGTGTGTGTCTGCAAATGAGTGTGTGTGAAGCTTCCCTCCCTCTCCTGTGTCCATCTCTGCTCACCAAATAGAAGCTCCACTTGTGCTTCTGTGAGGAGTGGCCAATCCCATGACTGAGACCTGCCACTAATGGAGTCACTCTGACTAGTGGGTGGGGTCCCTTCCCTCAGAAGCCATAAACAGATTCTAGCTCTCATGGACTTAGGGACCTGCATGGACTCAGGCACAGCATGTGCGAATCTAAGCCTCTGTGAGCAGATGACGCGAGGCTGGCCCTCAGATGGCCCAATCAGGCCTTGGTTCTCTGGATTCTGGCTTCTTGGCCAATGACTCGTTTGGTAAATTCAGTTCTGGGGCCACGAGGGTGATGGTGGGGAGAGAGGAGGAAGCTCAGACCTAAGTGCACCCGACATGGCCTGGCAGGGAGCCCCTTCTTTGGGTCACAGAGCTGCCCTTTAGCTCCGATTGCCCAGCACTTTGTCTTCGCACACCACTGGCCAGTGCCAGGAGGAGGGGAGGGGCCTGGTGCCAGACACCTGACCGCCCCCAGCCCAGGACCATGCGCCAGCCTCACCTCCCACTGGGTCTCCTCCAGCGCAGGAGCAAAGCTGGTCTTCTCCCGCTCATAGGACCTGAGCTTGGTCTCCAGCAGGTCCTGTTCCTTCATGAGGCTCTCGAGCTCCTGCCGGAGCTGCCGCTTCTCCTGCTGGAGCTGCAGGACCTGCAGATGCAGCAGCTGCTGAGCGCGCTGGCTCTTCTGCGAGGCCTGCTTCAGCTTGCTGGGGCACCTGGACTCTGGGCCCTCTGGCTCATCCCTGCCGCAACGCTGGCGCTCCTCGCAGGCCTGGCTAGAGGTGAGCTCCTTCTCCTCGAAGCTGCGCTGCACCTTCTGCAATGCGTCCTCCCTCTCCAGAAGCTTCTGCTCCAGCTCCTGGATGGTGCACTCATCCGTGGAGATGGGGGAGCGGACACACGAGGCGCCCTTATCCGTCTTGCCCGGGTGGGCCAGCTTGCTGCCCCCGTCGGAGAAAGACAGAGCCTTCAGGCTCATCATGTTGCTGTCCTGGGGGACGATGCCCTGCATGATGTTGTGGGCTGAGCCCCCAAAGCGGCTGGAGGGTCCCATGGGGGTGACCACTGGGTCCAGCTGGTAGCTGCTGCTGGTGCTGTGCGTGGGCAGGCTGGACATGGAGTTGCGGCCGGAGTCCGACAGCGCCCCAGAGCACAGGCTGGGCTTCAGCTCCTGCTCCCGGGGCTTGTCGGGAGGGGCGGGGTGCAGCTGGTGCCCTGCACTCTCAGGGGAGGAGTGCAGGATGGTTCCCGACCGCGGCAGCACAGGCTTGAAGGCTGTCGGCCTCCCTGCACCCTTCTCTGAGCCCTGGGGAAGCAAAGAACCATATTGACCAAGTTTCCCTGCACACTCACCCGCCGTGCCCTTCCCAGTGGGATGTGTGCCAGCCTGGGAGCTCTGCCTTCCTGATCGGCAGCCGCATGGCAGACCTCACCTGTTGTTCTGAAGCAGCCAAATGATGTGAATCTCCCTTAAGGAGAAGAAAATCCTCCGTACCTGGGGGTGTCCCTCATGATGCCCTGGGCACTTTGTTCTATGAAATAACAACCTGGCCGTAGCTTGTCCCAGCCCTCCTGAGATGACAAACACTATTTTTACTTCCCTGGCTGAGATGCCAAGGCCAGGGATCCTTCTCCGGGTCTCTATGTGGTGTAGGTAAGGGCATTAGGCTGGACAAGCTTGTGTCCTTGCACAGATTGATCCCTTCTTATCCTTTCTTCACCTTTGCTGCCTCTTCCATTAAGCCTGGAGCGAGGATACTGACCGGCCTCCTCACAGGGTTGGGAGGATCACTTAAAATAACAACCCCTTTTTATCTGTAATTTTCATTGTAGAGTACTTTGCAGTTTGCAAGCCCTTTAGTTTGAAAAGCTGAAAGCTCTATGCAAACTCAGGAGCCCTTTCCTAAAATATCAATGCCCTGGATCCATGCCCCCAGGGTGGCAGCAGGGGACTGAGTGGAAAATTGTTTTCCGTGTCCCCTGGCGGGACTCAAGAGTGCTCGAGCTGCTTAAGCAGGCAGGGCCTGGACTTCCGAGTACCCAGGATTCTGTTGCTCTCACCCCAGCTGAACTGATGATGATAACAAAATCCCAGCCCTTATTCAGCCAACGATGCCTCCGGGGGTGGCGTGAGCAAGGAGAGGAGCTCCTGCGCCACCAGGACAGCAGATGAGAAGACCCACCTACCTGCAGGGCTCTGCTAGAGGGAAGCTGCTCGCCCTCCAAGCTCCTCTCCATCTGCACTTGCAGACCATAGCAGAACTCCCGCTCCTTCCCACGCCTTTCAACATGCCCAACAACCTAGCCGCATCCCATCGAGCACAGGAAGATGTGCATGTCTCTTTGCTCTTTGCCTAAGGGGCTGACCAGTGCTTTAATTCCCTTGTCCAACCTTTGATCTCCTTCCACCCTCACCTCTGCTGCTCTGGCCTCATGGGGATTAACACTTCGGGTCATGACTGTCCCCTCCTTCCCCTTCCCCTCTGCACCCCCATGTGCTCTCTCCTGCCTTTCTGACCCCTCACCCTTGCCAGAGACCCCCAGCTTACCATTTCTAGCTGATTGGAGAAGGGCATGAGCTTGGGTGGGGTGGACGGGTCAAAGTCCACTCCAGCCTGGCCCCTTAGGTCACCACTGGACAGTGCTGTGTAATCTGGGCGGTGGGAGCCCCGGGCCTTCTGGCTGACCTTGATGTAGAAGAAGTCTTCACTCTTGCCCATTTTGGAGCTGGACTTGCCATGACCTGAATCCTGTGAGAAGCCGAATCTCAGCAGCCCATCAGAGTACCGGTTGAGTTTCTTGAGGTGGGAGGATTTGCGCAGCTTGTACTGGGAAGCCCGGCAGTGCTTGCCGTGGAAGCTGTGGCCAGAGAGGAGGCTGCTGACGCTGCCCATGGTGACTTGGGGCCAAGGGCGGGCAGGGCAGGGTGGGAGTCTGGCGTGGCTGTGGTAGCAGCGGGCAGTCCTGGCTCCACGAGGGGACAGCAGTCATAGCAAAATGCTCACAGAGCCTGGGAGAGCTGTAGACCTGGAAGGAGACACAAGACAGAAGGCAGCCTGGGACAGGGCCAGTCACTGCATAGTCTCCGACAGTGACTTAAAGAGTAGCTATTCTGACTGCGGGATCAGGGCAGGAGAGAAATGTATATCAGAAGCCCTGCTCTGTCTCTGCTTTTAAGCCCACCATTCACTTTTCCTTTGTCCCCTAATTCAACAAACATTCACAGAGGGCCAACTGTGGGCAAGGCTCTGTCTTAAGCACTGGGGTCCCATGCATGTGCTAGGAGGAAACTAGTGTGGAGCAAGAGGCACAGATTCGGAGAGGGGGTTGTCTTCTACAGGGAGTACAGGGAGGCCTGTGTGTTTGTGTAGCATTTGAAAAGACCTCAAGAAAATGAGGGAGCAAGCCCTGTAGACATCTGGGGAGACAGAGCTTAGCAGAAGAAGCCCCAAGTGCAAATGCCTGAGTCCCCAAGGTGGAGTGAGCTTGTCTTCATGAGACCAGCACTGAGACCAGCCTGGCTGGAGAATCATCTGCATGGTGGGTGGAGGAGACGTAGAAGTCAGGGAGCTCACAGGCACCGGGCAAGATGGAGCCAGGGCAGCTGGGTTTGACTTTGCCCTGAATGAGGCAGGCAGCCCCCCGGATGGCTCTAAGCAGCCCACACCTACATCTGACTCAGAGGGGAAGTCACTCTGGCTGCTGGGCACTGAAGTGGCTGGCGGGGGGGCCGGG